CAGCTGCAAGATCCTCTAATAAGGAAGCAGACTTTTTCAATATTACTTTGTCATGTAAAATGCTCTGCTCAGGCAGGCCATCAACAGAATGTCTATGAGATGTCTTTTTTTTTTGCTTTTTATTTTATAAGCAAGATACTCTAGTGGCCTGTGAACTGGCTGGTTGGAAGGCCATGGTCCCTCTTAAATACCGGGAGAATGGTGGCTCACCACTGGAAAGCACTAGGAGATAAGTCAGTGACTTTTGGCGTTTTATGATTTGTAGATTTCTTAGATTTCAAATGGGGATTGATAAATAGACATTTTTTATTTAGTGACAATATATATATTTTTTTTTTCTGGATATACCTAGAAAGAAGAAAAATTATATACTGTAAAAACAACTGGCTCTGTTTCATTTTATACTTACACAACCTCCATGATTACTTTAATGGGTGCAGGGAGAAGAGGCACAATGAATGTTTCCCTTAAAAGTGAATTTTCTCTTTATTTTGAAGGGGATGTGAGTTGCCAATTGCTATCTCAGGAGAGTGAAGCCCTTTACAGAGCCAGCAGATGCAGTTCAGCATTGCTCTTTCTATTGTGCTTCAACTCTGACCATGGAAGAGCTAGCTCTTGGGACAGAAAGTGCTCTGTTTACACTCGGATCTTGGCATTTTTCCTAAGGGTACCAATTATAATGGTGTTTTTTGTGATATGGGCACACATCCATTATGAATTGGCTTGCACCCATCAACTCATTTTGCACAGGCCACGGAACATGCATCAGATGGCAACAATTCCTGTTCATGAGCAATGTTAAGGAAATCTAGATCGTTACCAGCAGAATCATGAATTCCATAGAATTGTTCCGTTATGCAGTTATATGAAGTATGCTGACAGAAAGTGCAGTTTCTCAATAATTCCCTCTCTTTTTTTTTTTTTTTTTTAAAAAAAAAGGCCACAGGAATGATAGATTATTAATCATTATTGATAGTCAGTTAATGTGAGTTATAGTAGATCGTTGCCTGGAAATCCCGATCTGTTTGGTAAACTTATTTTCTTGCATAATAGGAAACTTACCTTGAATTTAAGAAGTCTAAAATATGGCTTGACATAGATAAAGATTAAAACAATGGAACCACCCGTTTCACATAATCAAAAGAAAAATTTAATAGATACATATGTTCTTAGTCCAACGTTTCTTGATACTGTACAAGCATAACAATAGGGGAAATACAATTGTGAACAACTAAATTGTTCCTGCATTTTGCTTTTTTTCCTGAGAACAAAATTCTTCTAGAGCTCAGCTCTAGCACGCAGACTGAATCCCTATGCAGCACTGGAGTTAAGGCAGAGTTGTGCATTGTCTTGACATTTAGATGATGTTGGTCATTCTGGTTGTGATTGCTGAAAAAAGTAAGAATGATTAAAATGCTCTAGGAAACAGAGGAAATTCAAAGGAGATAATGTAATATGTTTCATCTCTGTGTTTGGGAGTGTACATAGGTTAATTTGTGTTAGCCCCATGTCTAAAGGGACTCATAGTGTGCATGGAGAGTAAGGCACCAGAACGACATTAGGGAAGGGCTCATATTCAGTTAGAGAATTTAATTTCCTTTGTGATAACTGGTCTTTAATCTTTTGGAAGAAACCTGTGGCCTTTCACATTCAGTACTCTGTGTGCAGCACAATATTCAGCAAGTGACAGTTTCTCATGGAAAGAGTTTACATCCTAATCTGTATTGTGTCCTGAGAACACAGTGAAAGGAGGTGAAAAGACATTTTCCTCTCAAGGAGGAGACTGCTGGGTCATTTCCAAGAGGAGATCCTTAGAGAGCATCCCATGGCCCCTTCCTGTAGAAGGCAGCAATATAACTCTTCGTTATTATCTCTGTCTCTCTCTTCCCCCAACCAATCTGTCAGCTCATTTATGGTGCTGAGGGGAGGCGTCGTGTCGAAGCGATGTTCCCGTTTGCAAAATGGTAACTTCTATTTGTTGTTCTGAGGAGCTGGTTTCACACGCTGCGGAGCTGACATCTCTCCGGGAGCACAGCTGAGTCCAACATGTTCAGAACAGCCATCCACCCAAACGCCTCCTACTCAAGTGCTCAGACCTTCCTTCCCAGTAAATAAAAAATACAGAGACAGCCTTGAATTGTTCCAAATATTTCTGTTTCACTGGAATGTCTACCCATGTTCAGATCTGATAAATGGGTATTTCTGTGGCCTAGGAAGTCAGTTTAGTGTGGGAATAGGGTGGCTCTCCAAAGAGAAAACCCAGTTTCTGGAACAGTTAATGGAAAAGTCTGACTGACTTTCTCTGGTGTTAATGTATTGAAGGGTTCCTGTGGGCATGAAGATACAATGTCTCAATTAACAATTTTATGACAGAAAACAAAGTCATCATAAGCTGCTGCTTCTACTATGTTGTAAGAAATCACACATTTTTCAAAGTTTCATTGCTCATACAGAAGGCCTCTCAAAATCTACTTCCTAAAACAGGAAACTGAGCAATGTGCTATTGTACGCTTTAGTCAAGGAAATATTGCTGCATTATTTAAACCACCACCATTCACTACAACAGCAGGTCTCAATATATCCCACAGTGTGATTCAATTCATATTGTTGGGCCATCCTGTCTAGCCATGGCTATGACTGTGACCATTGTAATTCTGTCTGTGACCTAACCCATGCCCTATAGTAGACATGACCTCAGTTTTCCAACCTGTAGATTACAATATGGAAAAAAAGGTCTTTTGAGTAATCATTCCTAGGTAAAGAGTTGAAAAAAAATATTTGTGCTAGTAGTCCTTGTAGATCTCACTTGCCATGGGTGATCCCAGTATGGTCAAGGTGTATTACCTTGCAGGCTCAGAGTTGGAACAAGACATCCTGTCTTGCAAGACAAGTTCCCCATCTCTCAGTCCCTCACTTGTGGCGTTTTGGGGTATGCCACCCTCTGGTTTCCTCTCTTGGGCTCCTTCCAGACACTGCATGTGAAGTCTCCCCTTTTGGATGGCAACATCAAGAGCAAGGACAGCCAATGTGCATCTCTATAGGTACTTCTCTAAGAAATTATATGTGGAGCAAGTTTTCTCCTTTTCTGACTCTTAAATGCTTTGGGTCAGTGTCTTTATTCATACATACCCACTTGCCATTTTATCAAGGACAACCTATGGTAGAAAGTGGGATGATCCAAGACTCTGTGGCCCATTACATTGCACAGAGAGTTTAGCTATGAGGCTCAGTATGGGGAGATTTAAGATCAAAAATCTACAGGAGAGTGCAAACTGGAGCATTAAAACTCAGCATTGCCCAGCCCAGGGTGTGCAAAACCAGTGTCTCCTGGCTGGTGGTGGTTAGTGCTTCTTGGGTTTGGTTCCAGACCCAGCTGGTAGGCTAGAGCAGGTGTAGCAATTAAGGACTAACGACTTTGTTCCTTTAGGTGGCTACAACTCACAATGTGACATTATAATTAAAATAAACAAACCTCTTTTCCTCCCCACTGATGTCTGGAAGAAGCACAGAAACAAGGTATGCTGGGCTGCATGATGTGTTTCTAAGGTTTGCCATCCTTAGATCACTAATTTTGTAAGACACCTGTTCAAAGATCATAAGCAGTTCCACCTTCTTATTTTCTGATTTGTTCAAAACATGACTTTTCCAGAAGGGGGGAAAAAAGAGGAAATTCATATTAATTTTTGTTGCCATTAAATATTCGTGTGTCAGGACTACAGACTTGAAACTCGGAGTATTAAACAAGTGGCTTCAATGATTTCAGCAATCCTGAGTATCCCATCATCTTGTCCAGGATTCTTGTTTAGGATTCCCCAGGCACTTCTGCACTGAGATCAGTGAGGTTTGGGGGAGAAGTTTTAGTGCCTATACAAAGCAAACATTGTCTTTGGTGTTAGCCTATAAATAACTAATGTGAGCAAGCAACTCTGTATTTTCCTCTGTGCTTAATACGTGCGTTCTGCGCCCTCAGGCAGCTGAATTTACATGCCTTTGTTGTCATATGTGTAATGTGCAATATGTATTTTCTTTTTATTAATCAGACCTGCCATCAGAAAAGAGATAGAGGGAGTCTGAAAGCACAACCAGGATAGATATTGTCATTTTGTAATCTTTTGTGCACAGGTGGAGATGCCTGTTTCCACTAAAACAGGTGACAACATTCTGCTGCTTGCAGAAACCTTACAAATGAAAATCAGGCAAAGGAGTTACTGGATATCCATGGGGTAATTCTCCTCTGGAAGTGTGCAGTCAATTCCCATTTAGGCTAATTACACTTAAGGAGCCCTTTCCTATAACTAATGAACAATAGGCATAACCTGTTATTACATAACCATAGGCACGCACATTAATACACTGTCGAATTGCACTACCCTGTTAAAATGCTTCCTCTACAAAATTCACCGGAGATTTTTAGAGACATTTGCTGTAATTACTGCTAGCATGGTTTCTAATTCATTTAATTTTCTTTTCTACCTAAACTGAGCATATAAGTGTGTTTTAAGAGATTGAATAAATAAATTTTTAATTATAAAATGATGCTGTATCATACATTATTAATCATAACCAACAATGTGTAATACATGTTTAGGTATGAATCCATTAGTAAGATGAACTAATATATATCAGTCCTAAAATAATATTCTAATTTGTCCGGTGTTTATGAATGGGGAAATCCATGTTTAAAGCAATTACAGGTTTATAAAAGCCTTGGATTGACAGTGGGTAAAGCATCGAGCATACTTGGCACTTAGGAATTCTGTTGTCGTCTATGGTGAAGGAGAAGACCCTTTTTTGCCCTTTATTGGTTTCAGCAGTTTGTGAAATCATACAACCAGAATGGTACAGATACACAGACCTCCAGGGTGGGAGCAGCATGATGCACATAGTCCTCATTGGCAAACACTCTGGTTATTATTGTTACCTTTAAAAACAAAAACTCCTTTAAATTCTGTCAGTTCACTTTCAGGCAGTTTTGAGGAATTTTGTCACTTATTTTCCTATTAGCGATAGCAGACTTCGGAAATCTCCATAGCAAGTTCCAGGCATTCACCAGTCTCGTGGCAGGACTCAAAAAGGCTGCAATCAATGTCACAGTCACAGTTGCAGTCGTTGTTGGCGTGGTCTTCGTTGGACGTCTGGTAGTATCTATTGGATGGACAACAGGTATCTGTCAGCCAATGTTCACAGGTATCAGGCAGCATTATAAGAAAGTCCCAAAATTGGCAGAACAAGCAGGCCAGGATAAGTGTTGCACATTCATCTAAGAAAAAGGAAAAGCAGCGAGACGTAAGAAAAGGGTATGCCTGATTATCCAGGTTGAGGCTAGTGTGACTACACAGAAATGAGATGCAAGACAGCACACAGAGTAGGCTAAAAATACATTGATGATAACTACTTCCATAAAGGCAAATGAAAGTATTTCTTTTCTGTGTTATTTGTTCTGGAAAAACAACAGCAGCATGAAAACAATTTGAATGAAAATGTTCTGTGGCAGTGAAGTTCAGAGGAACAAGTACTCTGAACCAACTTTATGGTTGGACCCAATGATCTTAAAGGTTTTTTCCAACCTAAATGATTCTATGATTTTATACTCTTGGTGTTTGGGCTATAAATTTCATCACAGGAGTGAAACTCACGCAGCAGGGATGCTAGCTGGGGGCTTTGCAGCCTTGCAGGAGTTTGGAAGTGCTGCTGCTTTGTGATGCCACGTGCCCTACCTGACCAACACACATGATGCTAGAGTTTATTTTCTCTTTCACAAGAGTTTTCAATTAAAGATTCAAATCATCAGTCTGCTCCTGATATTTCTAGGAAGGCAAAAAAAAAAAAATAATCACCCCCTCCCCCCAAAAAACAAAGAAACTTTCAGGGGCATTTTTTCCTGCATATGAAGAATTCAGAACTGAATCCTTCTTATTTAATCGATGCCTTTCTGGACTGTACGGATGTTACGGTCTGAATCAATCCCTGATGGAAGTCAGTGCACAAACTCCCGAGGCTTTTGTAGAGAGTGGCTCAATCCCCCAGACTCTCCAGTTCTAGCTCTTCTTTTTCTACGTGATCAGTCTGAATACAGGGGGTAGTGTGGTCCTGGCTCCTGAAGTCGGTACAACATCTGGGTAAGGACTGAGATGATCTTATGAACAAGACCAAGTCCACACACACGGAGGGAAAAAAAGAATAGAGATTCATCATCTGCTTACAGTTTGATTTCTGTAGTCTGTTTCAGTTAAAATGTTAATGACAGCTAGATTGCCTAATCGAAGACAGGGAGGAAAAGCAAGTCTAGAATACAGCCTTTGCAGAGGGCAGCGTGCTGACTGATTCGCAGCCCAGGGTCCTCCCACTTCCCCACCAAAATGGGTTTCTCACCTTTTCATTCACAGACTTGTTAATGTTTGAAAGGAGACAAAAGTTTGGAAAACAGCATCAGCTAGGATGTGTGTCTGGAGCCAGTGAATAGTCCTGAAAACTTGCTCACCATGATGAAAACTTTGTGTTATATTTGTTCCCCTCAAAAATCAACTAATTAACTCCCCACCATTCAAACTACAGCATCTGGGGAGGCTGCCTCGGGGTGCAGCAGGGCTCGGAGCAGGTGTGAGATTCTGACTGTGTGAATCCAGTTGGAGCGCAAAGACCCAGACCTTTCAATTTTTTTTTTTCCCTCCTTGTTTTTGGAAAGGAAAAATGCCTTCAACAATATGAATGCCTTTTCATTGGTTCTTTCATATGGCATATGGCATATGGTTATAACCACATTTCTTGCCCTAGGATGACTAACTGTGAACTCATTCAACTGCATTGGTTCTGTTGTGGCATTTTCTATCTCACGTAACATAAAGTTCACTGCCAGGAAGTTTCCAGAATTATGCTTTTTTTTTTTTTTTTCTTTTAAGGAAAGCTTTCTTGATGAAAAACAAAATTAAAAAATCATTCCAGCTTCTTTATGAAAAAAAAAAAAAAAAGTCAGTTAAAGCAGGTAGCAAGAATAAATAGCATGTGATTGAACTTCTTTCTGAGTAGCATATCATCATCAATGTTATCAATTTTAATACTTATTTAAATATGTCAAGTTCTATTTAAGTTCAGACAAGCACAACTAACTTCTAAGTCAGTTCTGTAGAATAAGAATGACTGAATTTCAATGATACTTAGTAAATTCAGGCTTACATTTTTTTCCAAATAAATGAGCTGAAATAATTATAAAATTGAAACATTTTATAAGGTGACGCCACTGCATTTAATTGTATGAAATTTACACTGTAGAAAATGTAATCATTTAATCCAGTAGTCCTTGATGTAATTAAGACTCTTCTTTTTAGATATATTATGTTTATGAATTTTCCTTCCTATACATAGATGTGGGAGATTAAATTCAAAATTATATATCAGTTAAGGATCTTTCAATTTTTTTTTCCTCTCCAAAGATCTGTTTTCTAATAACAGTTTTTTTCCTGAATGTGTTAACCATAATGGTGCTTATGTAATCTGAAGAATATAGATACGATTCTCAGGGTTTCATCCAGGAAAGAGAGCGCACAAAAAGCACAAGATTTTAATAATAAAATAATGTTTCAGCACAGAGTCTGTGATGTGCAGTAAAGATGCTTTTAAATTCCCATCAGAGCACACACCATGAACTGTGATAATGGATGTAACACATTTCAAAAAATCTGCATGTGTGAGGCTTTTTTGTCTTGTTTTAAGTGGGGTAATGTATATAAATAATAGATATTAGTAATTAAACATCCATTCCTATGCATTCATTTATGTATTTGAAAATAAATTAGCCACAAACTGCATAAAAGAAGATGCAATCTCCTGTTTTTTCCTCTGTTTTCCCTGCTGTTTGCGAAACAGCATTACTGCATTTATCTCAGTGAGAACAACGACCTCAGCTCTCATTCTCTACATTAATAGATTAATTAGCACAAAAGAAGAACTTCTAATAATTTTGCTAGCCTGCCTCATCTCCAAATTTTCCTGCTCTTGTTTGGTGGCTGTCAGCTCACGCTTTGCTCACGCAGATGATGCCCTGAACAAACCTGGTCCAAAGCTCGCTGAAGCCACGATGGTCACCCTTGGTGAGACCTGTGAGCTTTGGATCTGCTCCTTGCTGAGCACAGGGAACAAAATAAGCACCTATTTCCTCAGATACTTCTCTGCCTTCAGAGGTTCTCCATGCACCAGTGAGCAGGATTTGGCCTCGTGTGAGTGGAATAAGCAGTAACTTGTCAGAGTAGAGTGAGCAGAGTATGCAGTGACAACCACAAATCTGGCTTCCTTTGGTTTTCTTGGCTTCCATCCAGCCCTTAACATTATTAATTGAGCACAGATTGAGGTTTTTTTGTTAATTTCCTTCACTTTTAGCTTTTTTTAAGGACTATGAAATCTGTTATTTGTATCACATGGTACACACCTGTGTGCCAGTAATAGTTGAGGGGCCTGCTCAGATAGTCAGCAAACTCAGAAAATAGTGAGTGCCTGGACTAGAGAACAAATTCCCTAAATGTCATAAATACTTCAGATCCTTCATTGAAATTAAATGTATCCTAATAAATGTATCAGAGACATCCCTTTTATTACAGGATCCATGATACAATAGAGATGGTGATGGTTCCTGAAGAGAATGGAGGTTTTTTGTGTTGATCTGTATTTAGAAATATTTAATTTAGGAACTGTTAAATTATATACCTGATAGATCCCAACTCCTATGGATATAACACACTAATCCATTACTGCAGAAGGCACATATAAGAAACTTCAAATATGCTTCACAGAAGCCCTTTTTTTTCACATCCACTGGAATAACCAGGAATAGCTGTTTCTCAGCATAATTCCACTAATATCAGGTGTGTTGTATTATTTAGATTAGCAGGAATCATGTTCCTCGGTTTGTAATGAGTGTTCACAACTCATTCTATTCCTTAACTCTTGGTTATGCTACTGTCTCTGAAACTCTTAAAAAAAATATCCAGATATTCAGCTCTTTAACTTGTGCTTTTACATGATAAAAAGGATCAGCTCCTTTTTGGAGAAGGTAAAACAGCTCTGATTATTAGCCCCAGAGCAAGTTATGTTTTAACAATGTTCATTTGTGAAAATGCACTTGGACTATTGGGCTTCTGCTGCAATTTTGGTCTGTAACTACATTTCATAACACTTTGTTTTCAAATATGCTTTTGTTCATTAACTAACCAGAAGTTCTATTGACATGTATCCACTCCATCAGAGACAGTTTTCTGCAGGAGCATGGCAGAGTATGAAGAGAGCTCCTCATCCTGACCCACGTGAGTTTTACAGTGCAGTCATCAGAGGGAGGATTTGGTGATGGGTCAGCAGAATGGCAGGGTTGGATGCAATGGTCCACAGCAGAACTGCCTATACAGGCCCATAGAAATAATATTCTGACCACCAAACATAGCATCTGTTCAGCAACCACAACAGCTGCTGCAGTGCCAATGGCAAAAGCAACAGCCTCCGCTACTGCGGAGAAATGTGTCCATGTGAGATATTCTGTTTATCTCATACCAACACTAGTACCTCTGTGCAAATACTCATCACAGAAGTACAAATGCTCTGTTGCAGAATTGGATCTGAGATCTTCTTCTATGGCTTTAATATCACTGACAATTGAAGATCATTGTCTACAGATTCTCACCTATCTCAGAAATGTCTGCAGGGCAATTTAATGCTGCTTTTGGCTATGTTCTTGAACCTCCTGTTCAGCACGTAAACTTTTATTACAAGTTAGATACACACAGTGCTCTTGCAACGGGCATTATTTAGAAATCAGCTTAAATGTGATCTGTTTTATAAAACATACCGTCACTGTCTCTCTGATGTACTGATGCGTCTTCTTCAATGTAAGTGAATTCTCTGCATTCCTCCAGGGAAGCAATGGACGATGTGCTAGCATCTGACAATTTCTTCTCATTTTTGGTACCCTTTGATGAAGCGTCTGTGATGCTGAATTCTGCGACAGAACTCATAACAATACCTTTCACAGGCTTTTCATCTGTATGTTTTTCATTTGTAAGATGGTTATCTGGTGGGATTAGGAAAAAAAAAAAAAAAAAGACTTGTTTGCAATACTAAGACAGAGATCTGAAAGAATAACATATGCAAAATTTCCAAGCCTACGGATGTTTACTTCCAAGGCCTAACCCTACTTACCTAATGATTTCAGTCTCTTTACGCAACTAAAGTTTATTCATAGTGTAAGTATTTGTGAACTTGCATTCTAAGGTTTTCTCTTAAACCCAGAGGACTTAGAGGCTAAGCAATAATTCACTTCCACTGGGTGGGATCAGGTTAGGAGAGAGAAGAGAACTATTGCCTCAGTTGACATCTATTTCCAGTGTGATATCCTAACTTCAGTTTGTGATATAAAAGAAAGCAAAACAATTATCTTGTTATTTTTCAGCAGCAGCTCTGTTTCCCTAAATTTACAGCTAACAATGTGTGTGTAGGTGGTACCTAGATGCAGATGTGCCAGCTTGCCATGGCTCATAATCTTGTAGCAAAGAAAGCCAGATGGTCTCTGTTTAACATTCAGATTCATTATTTCATAACTTCATCCACACTTGTGTTGTTGGCCTGGAAGTCAACTAGAAGATGGGATACTTCACATGCTGTCAGCATGCCAGTGAGGCAGTTCAAAAACCAGAGAGCGCTTAATTTTAAATCCCAACTAGGGGAAAGGTTAAGAAGAGTTCTGAGCTCAATTTATTCTTGAAGAACTTCTCAGGCACAGATAAACATTGGTTGATATATAGTTTCACTTACTCTCCAAAGTGATCAAGAGGCCAAGAAACACACTCATTCTCTCTATGGCTGGGATGATAAAACCTCATCAATTCTTATCTACAGCTGATTAACTCCTGCACCTCACATCAAGCACAGCCTCACTTTTTATCTTACTTAAATCTTGTGATATGCTTGCTCTTGAGCTATATACAGAAAATCAATCTTTACAAACACCTCAGTTTTACAAACATTACTTTCTGAGAGGAACAGTAAGTGCTCTAAAGCAGTTAGTCTGTGCTCTGTTGCAAGGAGCCAGAGAGAGACCCTGCATATCTCTTGTTTTTCAGGTACCTTTGAATCCTGACATATATTAAAGAAATGTCAAGAAAAGGTTGATAGAATGAAACCTTGAAGAGACTGCAGTTGTGTCCCATAGTATCCTTGCAGCCAAAAGGAGGAAATGTGGGTGAGATGCGTGGATTGCAAGGTAGGTGAAAATCCACTGGGACCTTTGGGCTTGAAGTGAGGGGAAGCCAGAATTTAAGGTCTAACTGGTATCTGGAGCTAATCCAGCGAAGGCCACCAAAGTGCTGAGGGATCTGGAGCATCTGATGTATGAGGAGATGCTGAGGGAGCTAGTCTTGGTTGGCCTGGAGAAGAGAAGGCAAAGAGTGGTGCTGGATGTTGTCTTCCACTTCATTACCAGGGTAAAGGAGAAGCCAGACCCAACTCCTTCCAGCAGTGCACAGAGATGTAAGGACAAGAGGCCACTGTCACAAGCTGCAGGAAGGGAAATTGGGATTGCGTATGGGAACAAATTCTTCATCATGGCAGTTGTAAAGCACCAGGACAGTCCCTGGCAAGACTGGGGAAGTGTGGAGAGCTCAGCTGGGAACAAACCCCAGCAACCTGCTCTTACTGCAGAGTTAGCCCTGGTTTGAGGCAAGGCCAGGTGTGGTGACTTCTAGAAGTCCCCTTCAAGCTATTTTTTCTATGATTTCTATGATTTCATTTACTTACAGAATGAGTGAGCACTCATCAGATTTTTACTCATAGTCAGATTTCATGCCATTTTAGATCATCTTCATGTGGTGAAATATGTAGAAGCAGAAAAGCTGTGTAGAGGTTAGTGGAGTAAGACCTTGGGAGAGGATAAGAAGAAATACTAAGCTATCATTTTCATTTTAACTTTAGATCACTGCTTTAAAAATGTGTGTTGGCAGATGTTTTGGCTTGATTTTGAACTTGTAATAATGACAAAGTCTACCATAAAGGAAACGTGGATTTTCCCTGTCCTGGAGAGTTTACAGGTTGGCCTTAGGCAGGGTGTGACCAGTGGGATGAGAAAAGTGGAGGGAAGGAGAGAGTTAGACAACAGTGGCACGGAGAGGAGTCTCAGAAAATGATAACTGTCAGTTTTTGTGAGCATTATGGTGAAGGAAAGCCACAGGCGAGACTTGGGAAGAGCAGGAGGGGCAGTGGCTCCTCCAGGAGTGAACCAGCAGTGCAAAGCACAGTGGCACTTGCCTGCAGGTTGTACACTTTGGTCATAGGAAACCAGAATCCTGGACAAAGCAAATTTGACTTTGCCTATCTGTGATAATTTGTTGATGTTTTTTCCCCCAGAGTAAGTAAATACAGCTTTTTTTTCCCCCTCTCTGACTTGGCCAGCCTCTTGAGTGCAAAATGTGAAAATTCGTGCATTTTGGATGTGCTTACATGTACAGTAACCACTGTTTTCCAGTGTTTATAAACCAATGGCATACCACAGTTTTTCCTGCACTTTCTTTCAATAACATACTGTCTCCATGAAAAGCTGTGTTAATTGAAGTAGCAGAGCCCTGGAGGAAGCAATGTTCCGCTTATGCGTTGGATTTATTGGATAGTAATTCATTTGTGAGTCCAAAAGACACATGCCCCACCTGTTATTCAGGTGTAATCTTACAAATGGGTCTTGTTTGTCCAGGCTGAGAGCTACATGCAGGCTGAGTACTTGAATACATACGGATCGGATTGGAAGACCTAGGCAAGAATGACGATTTCTATCATTTTTCCACTTTCAAAATTGGCCCAAAAGTCTAAACCGGATATATTATAAATTGCAATATAACTGTTGAGTTGCCCATTTGTGCGACAATACAATGGCCCACAGAATGCATTTAAGCATTCAACAAACGAGACTGAAAAAAAAAAAAATCAGAGGTAATCAGTAAATGCCAGACTAACATTTACTGTATCCACCGTCTTCTACTATTCATGCTTCGAGTCAATTTTTATTCTTGAAGTGCTGTTGAAGAGAAATCAAAACCAGAAATAGAAAGGCATAGACATAACCTGAATTTTTCAATACAGTACCATCAAACAAAAGGGTAACAAAAGCTGTCATTCAAGGACTCTTCTGTTTGTTAAAGCATACTACATCTTTGAAAATACAGTACATTTTAGTGTCAGACTCTTAGTTTGAAAAGCTCCCTTTAAGTAATGTTATACTTGTCTTGTACAGCTAGATCAAGTCTTCATGCAATCACCGTAACAAGCAACTTGCTATGACAAGCGAGATCCTTGCTTCTAGAAAACAGTGTGATAGGGGCTAAAGCAGTGTACAATTATAGGTCTCCATTTCATTTTTATGCAATTACCTTCAGTTCAGCTGTGGGTCCATCTACATTATGTCTTTTATCAATTTAATGTTTGCACAAAGTGTCTAAAGAAATAAAGATTATGCTAGACCAGCATAAAAAAAAAAAAAAAAAAAGTGGTTAGCACTTTGGTTTTTTCTTCTTTTACAGTTTGTTACTGCACGGAACAGTAGTAGGTTGAGAATTTGGAACAAATAAGTGGAAGCAAATAGGCCTTAAAAATATATTATGTAAAACTGATATTATTTATGATTACTGTTAAATGAGAACATAAAAAAAAATAAATTACAATCAGAGATGGGAAGAGGGTCAAACTTTGTTACTGTCTTATAAGAACCTGTGTTCAGCTTCAGATATCCACAAATGTCTGTGTTTTTAACATGTAAAAATCATCCACTGAAGTGAATTAAAAGGGAAAAATAAGTGTATCGTGATGAAGAAAGCTCAGATTATTCAGTGTTAGACTGTTAGGCAGAGACAGCTAGAGGTAAACCCCCACAATGTGCCATTTTAAAATAGTATCATGAAGCAGCAACTTTCTCACACAGGGAAGCTGAGGCTTGCCTTGGCTGTTGCAGTAGACTAGGATTGTTCACCCATGTTTGTATTAAAGATAGATAGTCTCAATACTCACATGAAATTTCTATTTTTTTTTTTTTTAAGTTGGGTGATTCAGGCGGCTGAGTACAGTGCCTAAATTCATGAAAGCACAAAGTAAATTGTTTATTTTCCATTGATTCCAGCTCCAGATCCCTCTGGTTAATAGCAAGGAGCAGTGATACTAAGACTGGCATTCAGAGTAGGTCCCCTGGCCTCTATTTCTCTTCATTGGCTTAGGCACAAACCAGGGCTTTGCAGTCCTGGAGACTAGGAGGCTGGAGTTTCCTAGCATGCTTTTGAAATTAGCTTTTATATAGTGTCATATAAGGGCTCTAAGTCTGTTTTTGGCATGGGACAGGGCGTATAAGGGGTGGTCTATTCTTCTGGACAGGGGCTGCAGCAATATGGGTAATGCCAAAGAGCTGTTTGGAGCAACTGGTTAGGGGGAGTTGCCACTGAAAGAAGAGAACTGATCTGTCACCTTGCACAGGGCTCATACACATCTTGCAAGCAAAGGACAAGGGAACCTGTGGCTCTACTCTGTGGTGGCATTTGTTCCAAACCCATCCTGGTCAGTGGCCCTTCGCCTCACACCCCTGTGGCAAGGCATCCCAAAGGTTAATGGTGAACTGTGTGGAAAACTCTAGCAGTTTAGGACGTGTAACTTTTAAATTTCACCACAAGGCATCTTCATGTATCAGTGCAGCGACAGAACCAAAGGAATGCCTGGATGATCTCCCTGTCATTGGTTATCCCACGCATTGCCGTCGCTACCTACTTAATATATCACATACTTGTCACTGAAAGAGCTGTGTGCCGTGTCCATTCAGTCCTGAGATGAAGCAGTCAGAGCTACATCAGACCTGATGGATGATAACTTGTAAATATAAAAGCTTGAACTGAACTCACTTAGTTTGAAAAGACTCATGAAACCCAAACCCCAGCTTTCAATGGCCAAGTTTTGAAAAAGTGAAAAGAAAAAACAAAGTACTTTTTCTTGCCAGTCTAAAAGACATCATTTGTCTGCCAGCAGCAATGAGGGGATGCCAGGGGTATATCT